CGTGTCAAAGGTTCCGATACCTTAGTGGAGGTACTGAGTACTTTAGTGAATAGGTAGTCAGTAGGCGCCTCGTGGCGTGTTTAACCTCACTAATATCAGTGTGTATATTTGCTGCCTTGACGAAAGTCCCGTGGCGGAAAGCCAAGAAGAAGCGGGAGGCAAAACACCATTGCCTCGATACAGTACAGTATCTCAGGGTGGGATCTTTACATTGACGGATTTGAAATTCGCAGGAGTTGCCGTGGTTTCGTCCATCCGAGCCGCACACGGGGATGTAAATGCGGGGACATAGAGGTCCGATACGATCGCATTCATCCGTCGTCGGGCGTATGTCGTCGCAGTGCCCACGGGCATGTAAGGACAGGTGGGAGTTGGAGGCGCATGCAGCAATTAGAAATTCGCAGTGGTTGTCGTAGCTTTGGCCATCCGAGCCGCACACGAAGGCGATGTTCCGGTGGCACGTAGTGTTAGGCCCATGTTTAGCGCATTCTTCCTTCGTAGGGGGCTGGCCTGACGCAGGCATCATGAAGGCAAGGACTACGGTGAGAAGAACAAGCATGGTCGCGCTGTTCGATAGGCCGGGGGAAGGGTAGATGACAAAGGTAGAGCTCAACTAGAGGTAGAACCAGGAATGAAAGCCAAGGCTACATCATTCCAAACCTCTCACATCCCTGCCCGACAACTCATAGCCTTGCTCATCATATCACAGGGCACTGTCTCTTTCTTCCGAGCACCATGAGTCCGCCGAGGTGCACACACCAGTAACGTTACTTTTAAGAAATGCTGGTCCGCCAAACCCGCCAGGTTCTCGACCGGTCATTGGAGTCAGAACATCCTGTTCTGTCATGAACATCACCACTGCCCTGAAGCCTCAGGTAACAGCATTGGCTGCAGCTAGTAGGAGGTTTTTGTGCCTTTTAGAGGCTTTTCCTCAGATAGTAGATAGCCAGCCATATCCACGGTACATCATTAGGATGCCGTGTCCTGATTGGCTAGCCATTAGCTAGTCCGTCTAGTCTTTTAGAGCCAGTCGTTCTCACTCGTAGCTAAGCTAATTCACTTTCCGTTTCACCCGCAAGCACCCAGTGTTCCCCCTGGCTTTTGCACTGGTTTTGAGCTCCACTGCATCCTCTGCTGCGGCAACCCGCCCAACCCTCTCTGTCGTCCACCACCTGCGTGGACTCGACAACTTTGACGAGTGGCTTTTTCGTTGACCACGATCGTCCTCCAAGGAGAAGGCCTGACCACTCAGGCGACGCAATGCACTGGCGTCGAAGCCAAGTGGTCGATCAAGGGCCTGACGCGTGCATTTCGCGTTCTCGATGGCGAGACCAAGAAATTGCGTCGGCACATCGACGACGCAGTCCTTCGACCGTCATCTGAGCCACCACTCCCGCCACCAGTCCTTGATGACGTGGCGCCCAAGCTCATCGATCCCATCATGGAATACCTGGCCGAACATCGTTCAGCCAAGTTCCTCGAAGCTCGCGCGGCCAAAGCCGCGCTAGAGCACCTCCTGAAATCCGAACACGCGGATGTCGAACGATCCATCGCGTTGGTCTACGCGTCGCTGTCGCTGTCGGAGGCAGTGCGCCGCGACGCCGCGGCCGCAAACCTTGGTCAATGCGCCCACTCATCATCGAGTGGCTCCTCGGCAAGTTCTGCAGCGAAGAGCAGAAATTTGCGTCCGCCGTGGATGTCTACACCAAGTTCCACGGCTTCAAATCCGAGCGAGATTGCTCGCTTGACGGCAGCCTGGCCACTTTCGACAAGCTTCGAAAGGCCGTCGAAAAACGCGAGAGCACGACTCTCAGCGACAGCCACCTCGCATCGGTGTTGTTGTCCGCGCTGCCTGATTGCATTGCACACGATGTGCAAGTATGGCGCGGTGCTCGACCGAGCATCCCATACACCCACCTCCGGGAACTCTTGCCGCAGCACTGGCACGAGTTGACCCAGAAATACCCTGATTTCTTGGGTCCCAAACCGACGGCTCATGCCGTTCCGGTTCATGGTTCGGGCCAAGCGATCGAGCGCGTTACACCTCTCGAGCTATGATGGCTACGGTCAAACGACCGGCCTCAGTCCATGGCGCTCCCAGCGCGACATGCTACGCGAAGATCGCGGCTATTGTGACTACTGCGCACATGCAGGTCACCGCACGATAGATTGCACGAAGCTTTCTCGTGCATTCCACCAAAACGCGGTGCTACGCGATTTTGTCTTCCCACCAGGGCAACTCCCACCGCACGGCGGTGGTCGACGAAACCAACACGGCCAGGGTAGTGGGCATTCCCACCCCGACAAAAGACCCACCAATCGCCCACGCGGCGGTCGTGGAGGCGGTCGTGGCGGTCGATCCGCCCATCACCAAGTTGATGTTGGTGCGTTGCTCAATGCACTCCAACAAGGCCTAGCCCATGGCGGTCAAAATCGAGGCGGCTACGCCCACGGCGGCCGCTCCCAACGTGGTAACGATCACGGCGGTTATTCCAACCGCGGCCACGCCCAAGGCAGCCAACAAAGAGTCGCGTCATCGGACCGACGCGATCAACGTGACCAAAGTCCGTTTCGCCACCACAGCGATCGCAACCACTCGTGCGATCGGCCCGATGATTTGTTCAATGATGATTATCATTGTTTGGCTCCTCCAGAGCTGCACCCCGTCCAAGATGACCGGCGAAGCCGTAGTCGCGGCACCCACCAAGGTGACCCCGGTGAAAATACCGGAGGAAACGACTATCGTAGTCGTCGTCGTAGCGTAAATCGCAGCGACGCTTCTCGTCAACATGACCAGACTCGTTATTTCAGTCTTCATGAACAGGTACCTTTGCCAAAAATTACGACATCTCGTGACAACAAATCGGCATCAATGCCT